GTTTGTCAAGGCCAACTAAAATGTGAAAAAATATTTTGATAAAATCTATTCGTTTTTGTTTTATACGCAAAAAACAGATTTTGATCATTTTCATGTCTCCTCCGTAACTTCTTTATTTATGAAAATATTAAAATGGGAATTTTACATTCTCATGGCAGTTTTTCGAAGTGATTTCGAAAAAAATATGAAATTTATACCAACTCTTCTAGAATTTGAGATATCAGCACCAACTTTAGTTTTTCAATAGTAGGTCATAGCACACTATGACTTAGTTACAAATAACTCTTTTTTCTCTTACAGATAATATGTCGCAGTAATAGTTTTGTGTTGATAACAACGGAGTTATCGTCATTTATACAAAAACAAAAAATTATTTGGAAGCCGCCATCTTGAATTTATGAATTTTAACAAAAAAATCATGATCTCCGACCTCAAAAACCCCCACTTACCAATTTTGAATGGAATCGGACCAAATCTTGTCCGCCATCTTGGAGCAGCCATTTTTTTCAATTTCAACAAAAATTCCATAATGTATTGTCACTGAAATTATGAACACCTGTCAAATTTCAAGTTAATCGGAGTTATGGAATTTTTTGTTGAAATACAAAAAAATGGCTGCTCCAAGATGGCGGACAAGATTTGGTCCGATTCCATTCAAAATTGGTAAGTGGGGGTTTTTGAGGTCGGAGATCATGTTTTTTTTGTTAAAATTCATAAATTCAAGATGGCGGCTTCCAAATAATTTTTTGTTTTTGTATAAATGACGATAACTCCGTTGTTATCAACACAAAACTATTACTGCGACATATTATCTGTAAGAGAAAAAAAAGTTATTCGTAACTAAGTCATAGTGAGCTATGACCTACATTTGAAAAACTAAAGTTGGTGCTGATATCTCAAATTCTAGAAGAGTTGGTATGAATTTCATATTTTTCTCGAAATCACTTTGAAAAACTGCCATGAGAATGTGAAATTGCTATTAGAATGTTTCCATGAATAAAGAAGTTACGGAGGAGACATGAAAATGATCAGAATCTGTTTTTTTGCGTATAAAACAAAAACGAATAGATTTTATCAAAGTATTTTTTCACATAATAGTTGGCCTTGACAAACTCCACATTTGGTGTCATTCAACCGACCTCGTATCTCTCACCGTTAAAAAGATACCCATGGTGAGCATGGTAAGTGGGACACACTGTATAGGAATTCACAATAACGACTTGTCCATATTAATATGCTGTCATCGGGGCTGTGATGGTGATGGCTTCTGGATTTCTATTAGAATTGCAAAGAAGTGCTTTCCCAGCTCGATATTCCACACGAATTTCACAGAACTATAATGATCGAAACATAATCCTTGTGGTGAAAAAATTTCAATATACACCTTGGTTTTAGAATATATTATTACCACGGGAGGCTGAAGCCTCGGAATATAATCTGTGTCCCAGGGTAGTAATGGTATTCTTTACTACCTTCGTGTATAAATAACTATTTTCTTTATACTTACGTCAAAAAGTGACAAGATAAACGCATTCATAATGATATGCGAAGAAAACTTTTTTTTTACGTCACCAGGACACGGTAGCCAAATCGAGAGCCAAATAACGTGCGAAATGAAATAGTATGTGAAATATATATCCCTATCACAAAGTAGAATTTTTTTGCTTCAGTTACAAAAATTGATTGATTGATGAGAGCTGTCATTTGTTTTGAGATCCAAAGGAGAAAGTTCATGAATTACTTGAGATTCAGGATTATTATTACCTGGTATATTCTTTTTGGAAAGTGAAATTCGAAATTCTATCTTTCACTCATAATAAGATATACCCACAATGTCAAAAATGTCATGAGATTCAAACTAATTTTTCCCTAGCTCCCCTACACAAGAAAAGAGGAATGAGCACGTATTGCTTGTCGGCTCAACGTGAAAGAGACCCGCCTGACATGAACATAACCTATCTATTTCTGTTGTATTTCTTAAGTCCCTCATGTGTATTTGTTGAAATATACTAGATGGTAATAGAATTGATTGCCATCGAACATAATTGCATCAAATATTATATAGGAGTTTGAAGAAGTTTCGACTAAATGAGGCATATACATCGTTTCTGAAAGATTTCTGCAAATAAAATTGGAGCGGGCATGTATTGGTTGAAATGATCGAATTGATCAAAGACTTCGAGGACGTTCCGAAGAAAATTAGAAATTTGATATCCTCTGTTCTTCCAATGGACTCAGACATGAGCAGAATTAAGCGAAAAAGTTAACACTTCTTTACTAACTTGTATTTCCCACTGTTATAATATATTATGGCATGAGATTTGATAATTTCACCAGAAATTTTCGCGTCCAGAACCAAAGCTGTAGCTACACGATTGGAATGTTGACTGAATACAATTTCCAATTTTATGCATTCCCACGTTGAATTTGTTTAGCTATATTTATCTGCACGAAAACAAAATGGAATCCTCAATTCGATCCACAAATTAACAATTTCATTAACTTTACCATATATATACCAATACAGTAATTCAATTTTTCATTTCACGGTAACGTTTTTGTTTTACATGAATTACTAACTAGAATAACAATAATGAAGAATCATGTACAAATAGAAATATTTATGTAGGCATGAATATATTTATAGAATCATAAAGATTCATTCAAGAAAGATTCAATCATTGATATTCATGAAAGCTTGTCCAATAATTATAGGACGCTGGAGCATTTTTCCGATAAAAACTCACGGAAAGGTATTGAACTGAAAAAGTCCAACCGTTGTTCGTTTGAAATGCTAATCCTAGGAAAACATTGAACTCTACCAGGAAAACCTACTCACACAATTCATGTTTCATGTGAATATACTATCACTGATTAAAAATTCGTGATCATTTGAAGAGATCAGGCATTTTATTAGGATGAACAGGATTGTATAAAATCAATATGATATTCAATTCTAACCATGGGTAGCATAATGAAATGAATGTCTACAAAGAAAATGATATTCCTTTTATTGATCAACTAGTATTTATTGAAAAATCCATTGTTGCGTGGAGAGATCAAGATGAGCTTGTGAATATATTATCCCAATTATATTGCAAACCTCGAACAACTCGATATTAGATGGCATCAAAGATCATAAAACGCAATTCAGGGGTCGTTTTCCATGAATACAATATCTCAGAACGATTGGAATGAACATAAACATTTCTATACAACACTGCATCTGTCTTCAATCAGATCAAACAGTTAAGAAACAAAACTATTGCAGAAAATTAATAGCTTCAGATTTTCTCAATCAGTCATATGGATTCTAGTTTCTGTATCAATGCATTTTTTTATAATATAACATTGTAATTAGGCTCTCCGAGATTCCTGTTCAAAAATATATTTTGAAAAACAAATTGGCCGTGCCTAGAACCACGCTAACGTGGATCTTGTTTTCAGAATTCCTCCTAGTGAAATGCGTCATGTAGGTAGTGACGTCACTGTTTCGCGTGGATCATACCCTCTCGTTTATGTCGCGTGGAACATTTTAATTTGATCAATCCAAGCTAATTGTGCGTGGAGAGTTTCCTTATGATTGATCATCGCCATTTCACGTGGTCCCTGGCGACAAAAATTACTGGATTTCACTCACTGGGACTTGGGGCTTGGGACTTGATATTGTTTTAGTACTTTTTTTTAAATAGCATCGTATCGTTCTCAATTTTCTGCTGAGATTGTTTTAGAACATGCATCTTTCATAACATTTTCTATTGAATCATTGAACGTATACTAGTAGATGTCTCAGAATCAACTGTGACCATGATAATGTCAGTGTGACATTTGGTCCATACTGTCGAACAGCACTTTATGATGATAATTGTTTGTTTCCAACAATTCATTTTCTCAACATTATGTAATATATGGAGTTAATGAATGACATACTCAATTCAATGACCGAATGAAAAATGAATTAGAACATCTGTTTCTTGTAGACGAAATATTAGCGAGAGTCAACTTGTTATACATCAATGTGTTGAAAAAACCTTCTTCGCGAAATAGCGTAGAATAATCATAAAGGAAGATTGTAGATTGTAGATGGATCGTATAGGCTGAGAGACATCTCGATCACTGCGACCTAGAAGATCTATTGTGATTAACCTTATCTAGTTTTGGTCCTCTAAACCTAGACTTCTAATGAAGCCTGGAATTTTCCTTACGGTTGAATTTTCCACCTCAGCAGGTGTGAGATAGACCTGTGCTAGGTGATTCAGCCTTTGGCGGACTGATACTTTACATGAGCAAAGTATGTGTTCCGCAGTTATTGCAAAAGCGGCAAGTGTCAGCCAGCCTAATTTTTTTGAGGTGGTACCTAAGAGGGCAGTGTCCTGTGAGAAAGCTCGTGATGAGCTTTAGCTCTGGTTTGCTGGGGCTGAGTAGCCCTTTGGCTCGGTTCTGCGAATGGTTGATGAACCTTCAATCATAAGGGAAAGCTCCACGCGAAACTTACTTGAATTGATCATGAGAACATGCTCCACGCCAAATTATTAATTATTAATCAAGAGGAAACATTCCAGCGAGCACCCAGGGGTTGCAGTACCAATTCTATTAAATAATACTGAATTCTGCAATCTACCTACATGGAATGAATGTAATGTCCTCACTATCGATGAAGAACTTGTGATTTACTTGATAATAGTATTGAAAGACAATGGTCCGCAATGACATCCTTATCGGGAAACAACTGATGTGGCAGGCAGGTAGAGCAAAATATGGATGATGATTGATTTGGGTCCATTTCATTCATCAGCTAGAGAACTAGAGAGTATTGCAATCAAAAATCTATTCCCAATGCATTACTTTCATCATTTATGCTTATGAGGGATCTCCTTGTCGAAAACATAATTCAAGAAGTCTTCATATGAAGTTGATTTCTAAGGCTCTCAGCAGATAGTTCTCATCACAAAACAAATTCAGTTCGACATGTATCTTGATCTCGAATTCTTTTGTTCCAGGACACTGACAAAGACTCCCATTACCCCAACATATCAAAGCCGTACGTGAAACAAGTGATCGACCAGTGCAACTACCGACGCTACAGTACGGAAGGTTGGCCCGGGGGTACCCCAATCATCGAGCTCGATGGCAATCACATAGAGGGCGCTGCGAGGAGCAAAGTCTCAAGGAGCAGTAGTCCCGCAGTGGAAGAGTCCCTGAGCCTAAGCAGGTATAACTCTGCTGCTAGATACACTTTGAATCGTGTTGTTATAGTGTTGTCGGTGTTTTTGGTGTGGTTCAACCGTTGAAGTGTGGAGGATATCTAGGGTTTTCTATAAGACTGTTTTTAGTTTATAAAGGATTTTGACAATTCTTCGGGAGTTGTTGTTCAAAGTCATGTTTTACTAGTCTGATCGGCCAGAGGTTCAAAACTGTTGATAACCTGTGAATAAGAGTGTTCTAGTGTGTTAAAATTGCTTTGCGGTAAAATGTTTGAAGGGTGAAATATGAGATTATACAATCAATATGGAGAGATTTGAGCATGACTGAATATTTCCTATTATTAGACTGAATATATATGCTTCAGACCTCTCTAAGCATATGGGAGACAACCTGAGAGGAAAGTAAGTCGTTCACAATTCAGATTCCCCTCATTTGAAGATGAAAATCAATGAACCAATTCCTTAAGTTTAAACCAAGCTCCAGAATAAGTGATTCATTGTCGAGAAATTTAAAATATCATTCAACTCATCTCTGTAACGAAATGTTCAAGTTTCAGGACGTTCCTCAGGAGGTTTGATATTTGGTATTCTCGATACAACCTCGACTGATTCATGAGCCTGAAATGAATTAGCGTATTCACTGTTCTCTTGTCAAAAATTCATCAATCGATATATAATATCATTCATTGATTGGGTTTATATTATATAATAATTAGCCTTACAAGATGTTAGGAAGATTTTTGGAAAATATTGATTTCATTATCATGAGTACTCAATATTTTATAGATGATTTAAGCAGAAAAAGTATAAATAATTTGAATGTCGAATAAATAATCAATCGTGAACTTTCGATTGAAACTGGTTCTCTCAAAGGTCTCCCTTTATTGAAGATGATTGGTGAATTCGATCCACTTCAGCCCTGTCAAATATTTTATCAGACAAAACTGATGATGTTGTTGCGGCAAATATTGCCGGATTGGACAATTTTTTGAAAAATCTGCCGCGTTGAGGTCTGTGATGCAAGTAGATATAAGCACTTTTTGATATTTCGTTTCCTCTACTAATCCACGTAGAGCGCCTGTTATTGTTAGTACCACCCTTTCTTTCTTTCCTTCTTTCCTCCTTTCCAGATGTATCTTTCCGGAGAAAACTCTGGTGTGATAGAATTAATTCGAAAATGAAGAGTTATGCAATTACTGTGGGGCCGTCTAGAGTTAACCACATTTTTATCCCAAAAGAGAAAATTTTATTGAATGAACAATACTGTGAGTGTTGAATAATATTCAGAGCATGATTTGAAACCAAGTTTTCTCCCAACATTGTTGAGTCATTTTTGTATTTATATGTGTAAATTTTATCAAATTTGATTGTATATTTGTAGTTTGACTGGTGCTATATATAGTTTTATCTTTTGTAAATGTTCTGTATCTAATTTATTATGAATATAATTTGTTCTCTCTAGGGAAGCGATATCCTTGTACAGTGTAGATATCTTGTGTAATATATTTTATAAATAAATCTTCATGATGAATAAATATCTAGCAATAATGCCTAACGTTTTGTTTCATTTTCCTCATGAACTTTAATGAGAGGTATACCTAATAAGTGAATAATTCACAATAACATTGCCATATTCATTCGATGTGATACGGTTGATGGAAATAAATAAGTATGAGTCGTTCATCAAAAGACAAAATCTCATCATCAGATCTACATGGTGAGTCAATAGTGTGTTCTCCTTCGATATTAGCCAAACCGTCAGAAATATAGGAAGAATTCGAATACAACTTCCATAGGGTTTCATGGGAACTATCACATGGAATTATTTTTATAGCTATAGGGTGTAGGCTTATGATGAGTTTTTTCAAAAGGGACACCCTGTATATTATTGCATTCTCAAATTCTCTTCAAATGTCGGTAGTAGAATCAAAGTCGAGATAGGGACATATTAGCCGCTATAGTAGACAAAGATGAGTACATAGATGAAGGGATTTTTTGATTGAATGCGGATGAGCATTGATTCAACCATATGGGCGTTCTTGAATAGGTCCAACCAAATATTTGTTCCATTTTTCTACGGAACTTTCTTGACTAATTCATAAAAGAAGATCTTGATTTGAATGAATACTTATTTATTATCACAGTACGTATTGGTCCAAGGAAGAATTAATTGAATTGAATCAAGAAAATTCTTCTATTGTAGTAAATCTCCCATCATTGTTGAACAATTTTGTTCTTGAATCAAAAAATTTCGAGCTCGTTACTCAGAGATAATGTCTCATTAGACTGAGTTTATGTTTTTTCAGAAGATCCTTATTTTCTCGTGCCAAGAGGAAATCATTTTGAAAGAAAAAAATAAAAGCTTACTATTAGCTAGAGTAGTGATGGTCTGCTTGCCATAAAAGGCATAAAGAACTCTCCTTGGTCAACAATAGTTATTTATTATACAAGGGAAAAAACTAGTAGATTTTAGCTCCAGGTTGTGTTGTCTCCCGACGCGTAGCGGAGGGAGACAAAAAACCGTGAGCTGAAATCTAATATTTTTACCGTGTATAATACACTATTTTTTTATGTGACAGGAGGAAGGACGAATCGATATTGAGATTAGGAAATTACTTTTTTTTTGAAATCTGAAAATTATCGACGTGAAATTTTATGTTTTTAACAGTAGGGACACCTGCGTTGTAGGCATCTTTATTATTCTTTCGAAGTAATCAAATATCTGATATCACTTCTGTCAGTCTGATTCTGTGATTTGATTTCCAATAATTGCGTATTTAGTGGTTGTTTAGTAATGTACGTAAGCGCGAAGTCGAATGGAAGATAAAAAGACATGCAGTTCTTTCTCGGAGACGGTATTATTGACTAATTTTTCGGAACTATAGCACAACAAAAGACATAAACAGTGTAAATATATGTGATATATATCCGGGAAAAGAGTACTCACTTTTTTCCCACGGGGAAAAAGTAATTTATGAAAAGTGACATTTTATAACCTGCCAACAGAGATGAAATGCCAAACTTTTTTCCCGTCACAGAAAAAAAGGCTTCATTATCAAAATTTGTTCATCCTTTCATCACATAACAAAAATGAATTCATGTATAATATAAATGAATACTGATACATAATATCTATATAGTAAAATCATCAAATAGCGACTGTCTGTAGCCTAATCTAGGAGGTGGAATAATAATTTTCCTAGATTTTTGTGATTTGCTGTCCTCGCCTTTTTACCCAGGATTTCACTGTGCTTGAATGTTGAACACCGAAAACCTAGAGAGAAGTGCAAAATTATTTCAAACATGTTTTGCGTGTTTTACAGAGTGGCTTGATAAATGGGAATCATTAACCGTATACTTATTTAAAACTGCTTCAGAAGAAACCAAATTTTCAATCTACACAGCCAGGCATTGTCGAAATCAAACGAAATTTCAAGTCAATCAGATATTTTCTGGTTTCAAGGAATTCTGAGTTTGAAAAAAGTGTCTGTATAAAAGTTGTCAGGTATATGTGAAAACACGAAAGAAGGAGACAAATCATCTGCTGAACGGATGTGTTGTGCAGGCATCGTCCATATTGGTGGACGATGGTGCAGGTTATACAAACATGGTCATATGGTTTGAGGTATGATTGATATCAAGATTCTCAGCAAGTTGCTGATAAAATAAGAAGGGAAAACTCCTCAGTACAAATGTGTTACAAAATTATAATAAGTTAAGAGTTTGTTCCTGTTCGACATCAATCGGAACAAAATGTTCGATTACACAGCCAGGCATAGTCGGAATCGAAGGACATTTTAAAACAATCAGATATTTTCTGGTTTCAAGGAATTCTGCGTTCGACAAAAGAGCCTGTATAAATGTTGTTGGGTATATGTGAAAATGCGAAGGAAGTAGATAAATTATTATTGGTTGAATCATTCTAATCAAGAAACCAGTAAACACATACAAAGAGTGGACAATTACCTGCCTATATCTATTAGGGCGTTAATCGAATGTATGCGACTGATCAAATCGTCACTTCTGAACGAATGTGTTGTGCAGGCATCGTCCATATTGGTGGACGATGGTGCAGGTTATACAAACAGGGTCATATGCGTTGAAAGTGATGTGTAGTTATGGTTTGAGGTATGATTGATATCAAGATTCTTAGCAAGTTGCCGATTAAATAAGAAGGAAAAACACCTCAGAACAACTGTGTCACCTATACCTATACCTACACGTACACACTTGATTTTTGAATACCTACTTCATCATTGAAAAACAAATGTGTTATGCACCGTCTTCAGCAGAAACAACAGCGGCAATGGCAAATGGCGCCCGACAACTGACTAGTCGAAAGGGCGCAGGCGTTTAGTCTTGTCTCACCGCTGTGTATACGTCACTGCAAGCCTTCTAGATATGCAGAGAGTTTCTTGTACCAATATTAATTGGAATTTATGTCTATTCAAACGAAACACTTTTGTACAAAGCAAGAAAATTGATCCCTCTTCATCTCTGTATCTCCATACCTCATATGAATATCTTCTTACTGAAGTGAACATTTTATAAATCGTTTTGGTACACCATCATATCATCGACATTATGTTATGCATGAAATAATGCAACTTTGTTCTAATTCGACCCACTCTGTATAAGTTTAGGGTTACCGAGATCCTAATGCTCAGCCACCCTGTGTATTTGGAAAACCAAAAGTCTAAACCTTTGCAGGGTTAGGAAAATGATACTGATGGGTCGAAATAGTAGTCTAGGTCCTGCTGACGAGTGAGATAACTCAATCCATGATTAATTCCCCAGTTATGAGAGCTAGTTCATTGAGATGATATTTTGATTCAAGAACATCTGCCCTGCCCTTGGCAACCATGGAGGGCTCTATGTATATAAAAGATACTTTTACACAACAACTGCGGCCATCGATCTTATGGAAAGTTGTTCAGACTATGTGTGTTCTATTTGTAGGCTTCGGAACTGACTTCATACTCTACCTTAGGAGCAGCACTCTTGATTCGATGCAACAATAGATTGAATCGTGCGAAATGTGTTATGAATGAAAATTGGCGACCGTACTCTGACTATCAATATTATTG